CTTTTTAATGGGCTAGTAATGATAATTGCTTAAATAAATCTAATTTTAACGGATAGTAGTTTAGTACATTTCTGATGGCCATCAAAGTAAGGAAAAAATACAACTTATTATTTACTAGCATTGCCCGCGGCTCCGCCCGCGTTCAGATGACCAAAAAGCAAATTCTTAGGTTACTCTTACTATGCAGTTTTTGTGTTTATTCTCAGAAATGAGATGTTTTCCCGCGGTAAAAAGTACCCTATATGTTGACCCGAATTACCAGCTACCACCATACCAAATTTCATCAAAATCCCTCCAGTGGTTTTTGTGTGATGCGGTAACAGACAGACAGACAGACAAAAATTCTAAAAACTATAGATTCGGACTCTGTATCGATAATAATGTCTATGTCAATTAGATTTTCCAAAAAATATTTAATGTATAGATTCGACTTTGTTACAATTGTATTATATGTATAGACTAGTCATTACTTGCTACTTTGTCTTGTAAAATCTATTGTTTTAGATTATTCTCCACAAAATCATCTTTTCGGAGTTTTTATAGATTTATTTTAGTTTAATACATGAAAAACCTTAGTCTCTCCCATAACCATGATTGCTGTAAAGCATTCGAAACATCTGAAACCAAAGATTAAAATAAATCCGCGAAAAAATGTAGTTTTATTTAAATTTCCAAATGTTCTCGTAAATCTACGAACCTATTTAACTTTATTATTATACAATACACAAGAATTACACAAATTCATATTTCATAACCTATGACTATATAAGTTTAAATACGAATTATCATATTATTATTCTTTTTACCTACTTATTAGATAACCAAAAAATGTCTACAGTTTACATTTTTACGTTTCAGCATATTTCATCATAAACTGGCTTGCAATAAAATACCAAACTTTTACTCAATCTTTACTAATATTATAAAGAGGTAGAGTTTGTTTGAATGCCCTAATCTCAGGAACTACTTATCCGATTTGAAAAATTCTTTTTGCTTTAGATAGCCCGTTTTTTGAGGAAGGCTATAGGCTATATATGATCCCGGAAAATTTTCGGTTCCCGTGGGATTGATTAGTTTTTGCCTAGGGAGGAACCCGAAGCGAAGCGATGGTGAGTCGCTTGTCTATACATATATATAATAAAATTGTAACTATGTCGAATCTGTACATTAAATATTTTTTGGGAAATCTTATTGAAATAGACATTATTATCGATAGAGAGTCCGAATGTATAGTTTTTAGAATAACAGTTTTCGTCTGTCTGTCTGTCTGTCTGTCTGTCTGTCTGTCTGTCTGTCTGTATGTCTGTCTGTCTGTCTGTCTGTCTGTCTGTCTGTCTGTCTGTTACCGCATCACGAGAAAACAACTGGACAGATTTTGATGAAATTTGGTATGATGATAGCTGGTTATCTGGCTCAACATATAGGATACTTTTTACCACGGGAAAATATCTCATTTCTGAGAAAAAACTACAAAAACTGCATTGTAAGAGTATACTAATAAGTAAAACCTAAGAATTTGGTTTTTGGTCTCCTGAACGCGGGCGGAGCCGCGGGCAATGCTAGTGTATTATATAATTATATACATAATATTCTGATATTTTTAACAGTAAAAATATTATACGTTGTACACATAACTTAGTTAAATGGTGTCATTCATATATTACATATAGAATACGAGAGAGGCATTAGACTCGGACTTCGCATAATAATTACAGCAAACAACTAAAACAATTGGTACTTTCTCCATTTGTTAAGTATGGGCCCTGTATGCAGTGAACGTTTACAGTTCTTCGTTAAAACTGCCTAGATTGTTACTGTTAGAAAACGTGGTAAAATATAACATGGCTCGTTGCACTTTGGTCGCGGGTTCGAATTCAATATAAACGTATAAGTTTAGATTTGGGTGTGTATGCTTGTTACTATTTCACACTGAAGCGGCTGGACGGATTTCGATAAAATTTTGTACATAAGACTATGACAAGTAGTAGGCTATGTTATTGCTAGGCACGTATGGGGCCCAATTGAGTGAGGAGAGAGTAAGTCGCTAATAGGATAATCATGCTCATAAGGATATACCAGAACAAAAGATCATCTTAAAATGATTAAATGGATAATTAGTTACTAGTGATCGCTCCGTGGTTGAGAATCAACTGTAATTTATTAAGTTTGATCCATATTGAGATTATTTTTTCAAAGTTTTGTAAATGTCTATAAAATCTATAAGAATTTTTCTGTAAGAAGATTCAGAGATTTGGTCGTACAGACAATATTTTTATCTTTATACTATGTAATTACTCGCATAATTTAGATGAAAGATAACTAACATTATGCTACATCTTGTAGCAGTGAAGTATTTAATAAAATGCGCGAGCGGATCCGCGGGTAAAAGGAAGTTAATTAATTTTGGCTTTCTGCAGTCCTCTATATAAACTTTACCTATGCCAAAGCTCATACTCCTCTGTACATGCAATACGCTTAAAAAGGGGTTCAAAGTTTTCTCTTGACGTAGTAATATATATGTAGACTAGCATTGCTCGCGGCTCTGCTCGCGTTCAGATGACCAATAACCAAATTCTGAGGCTTTACATATTAGTATACTCTTACATTGCAGTTTTTGTGTTTTTTCTCAGAAATGAGACATTTTTCCGCGGTAAAAAGTATCCTATATGTTGACCCGGATGACGACCTATCATCATACTAAATTTCATCTAAATCCCTTCAGTGGTTTTTCTGTGATGCGGTAACAGACAGACAAAAATTCTAAAAAATATAGATTCGGCCTCTGTATTGATAACAATGTTTATTTCAATAAGATTTTCCAGAAAATATTTAATGTACACATTCGACTCAGTTACAATTTTATTATATGTATGTATAGATAAGAACAAAAACGTTTCATGTGCACGTAATTCGTCACGGAAGAAAAATGTTGGTCACAATCATCAGTGTGTAATATTGTGCAATGTTGATCTGACGTCATCTTGCCTTAATTATATAGCCCTATAGGTCGACTTGAGATGTTTTGTAATATATATATATATATATATATATGAGTTATCACGATCAGAAGTGCAGAGTCCATAAATTTTCTAGTTAGTATTGCAAATAAAGTAAATAATATAATATATAGTACCTTTTTTAATGTACTTAGGTATTTATTACTATTCTTTATTGCACTTAAAAAATCAATACAGTAATGTAAAAATAGTTATTGTTTACAAAGGAGGTTTATTTCAGTTAAACCTATTTTATCCATTAACAAATATGTAAAGTCGGTCATAATTTGCTTAGCAATTACTCATCTTTTATATAATCTGAAATAGAAGGAAGTTGAACTAAAAATAAAATTTAAAGCTCGTAAATAGTAAAAATTTTAAATGACCACTAATCCATTGTCAGTCGTTACATAACATTGAAACGTTACGGCTTAATTTGTAATTAACTCCTTTTAGTCTCAGATTTCGCTAGTGTTGTAACTTCAGAATCAAATATTACCTTATTCTATGTAAATTGTCGATCCGTCTTGATTTCTCAATCAAGATTGCTACTCTCTTACAATTTAATTATTATGTACTAGCATTGCCCGCGGCTCCTCCCGCGTTCAGATGACCAAAAATCCAATTCTTAGGCTTTACATATTAGTATACTCTTACATTGCAGTTTTTGTATTTTTTCTTAGAAATGAGATATTTTCCCGCGGTAAAAAGTATCCTATATGTTGACCCGGATAACCAGCTATCACCATACCAAATTTCATCAAAATCTGTCCTGTGGTTTTCTCGTGATGCGGTAACAGACAGACAGACAACCAAAAAATCTAAAAACTATATATATATCGACCTATGTATCGATAATAATGTCTATTTTAATAGTTTCCAAAATTCATTCAATGTACAGATTCTGCTTAGTTACAATTTTATTATATGTATAGATATTGTTTGAATGTGGCCTTTATCTTTTATTTATAACACGTCACCCGAAGTTTACAAAAATGAGTACAAAATCAATTCTATAAGAGAATTGGGTAAATTATTTTTTCCTTAATCTCTTGCTGCTTGCACTTTCTCCTCTACATTATTGCTCTGCATGTTTTGCTGTACAGGATCCCATGACGATGGTAGTATCCGGTTATTAATATAATAACATCAAATAATAAATCTAAACATAACAGACAGGTAGATGTAGTAAGTTCTTACTGTGTGGATCAAAATGATAGCATTTCAGATTAATATTTTTCATTTGTAAAAGTATCTAGTTAATAGTGTTTCTTAGTAAATTGTCTTTTTAAATAATAGCAAACTAAATTAAAATTATTATTATTAATTAGTTTTAACTTTTTAAATTATACATAAAACAATTATGTGGCTTAAATAATTAATATTATATTTTATATTTTTCTTTATGCCTATAAATATAATAATGGCAACACTAAATATAGATTACTAATTAATATTTTTAAATTGTAATAATTATAATGATAACAGCAAAAATTAAATACACAATATTCCATATTCAATTATAAAACTAATTAAAATTATAAAAATGTGTAAAGTTATAAAATATTGTAAGGTACTTGGTGCAATTTTTCATTTTGTTAATAGTGGGTAGGCTGTCTGTAACAACTATACCTTCGAGACATCTAACACCTCAGTCTCTCCCGTGACCATGGATGCTGTAAAGCATTCGAAACATCGGGAACCAAAAATCCAAATAAATCCGCGAAATAATCTGAAAAAGAAAGTATTATCGATCGATTTTATTGAAAATATTAAATTTCCAACGTGCCTAGGTGCCCTAGGTCCCTATATATTATTCCAGATCGAAATTTATGTTTGTACTAAATTTCATCTAAGTACATCATTCAAGCCCTTTCATCATGAAGAAGTAACAAACATGCACACGCACATACAAATTTTAACCTTTATAGTATTATCCCGACTAGCAATTAATAATAAACATTATTAATTTTGTATTAATTTATTATTTCCTTTTGTCCATAGACAACAGACAGCGCGGATTTCCTCGCAACAAGACCGCACACGGCAGCGGTTATACCGGGCAAGCCTGCGGCCAACCCGCTACAGTTCATCAAAGTCGGGCCAGCCGACCTCGGCACGAGGGCGCGCGAGCAGTTGAGGCGAGCTGAACTAGCCAAGCGTACAGAACCTGCGAGGGTCGAAAGGCAGGAGGATTGGCAATCGGTAAGTTACCAAGCGAAGTAAATCTTTTAAAATCGGGTAAAAAATATCAAGATTTCTATAAAGAGCGTCGGCGCTTTCAGAAGACGTTTAAAAAATTTAAAACATGTCGGTACACGTTTGATGTTTCATTCATTAAGCTTTAAAATATTTAATTTATATTAGTCGTGTACAAAGTATCAATACTAAATAAAATTTCGACGCTTCCCAAGCGGACGCAATGTGAGTTTACAAAAAATATCCTGTGGTGGTAATGTTCAAAATTAACATTACAATTCTTAAACGCGGTGCATGAGCTTTTACAAAAACCCTTTTCAAGAGCAGATCGTAAAGCGTTAATAAAGCTTAACCGGATAAGCCATTTAATTAAATTACGTACAATGAGCTGTTTTCACTTTTTGTAAGAATCGACAATACGAGCGGAAACACGTAGCATGCCGGCGCTAACCCTGGAACTTCCGGTGGCTGGTATGTCAAAGTGCCTTGGCATTGAAATAGTTTAAATATCTTGAGTTAAAGGATAATTAGTTAGAAGACTCTGAAGGCGCCACTAGCATCATTGTGTTGAGATTTTTCTCTGTTTAGTACAGTTTTAAACTTCACTAAATATATCTATACATATAATAAAATTGTAGCTAAGCCGAATCTGTACATTAAATATTTTTTGAAAAATCTTATTGTAATAAACATTATTATCGATACAGAGACCGAATCTATAGTTTTTAGAATTTTTGTCTGTCTGTCTGACGTTACCGCATCACAGAAACACCACTTGAGAGATTTTGATGAAATTTGGTATGATGATAGCTGATTATCTAGGTCAACATATAGGATACTTTTTTCAAAATATCTCATTTCTGAGAAAGAATACAAAAACTGCAATGTTAGAGTATACTAATATGTAAAACCTAAGAATTTGATAATATAAGAATGAAACTTAGTAAAAATTATCGATTTAATAGAAAATCGATGAAGTACTTGATATGGCAAATTTACGTTGTTAAGTTTTTGAAATTGATGTTTATCTGCTATAGGTTAGTTACATACATGTGGCACAGCGAAAAACTACCTTGATTTCTCTACAATTTAATTATTAAAATTTTGGAACACAGCCTTGAGATTGTTTGGATTTTTTTCAAGCGTTTATTAGGAACATTCTTCAGAAAATATCTCTCATTCAAGTTTCATAGAGGTCAGGAATCTCAGGCAATAATAACGAAGCAGGCGGCCATTCCGACTTTGTTTTGAAATAGGTTACTGACTGTCCTTAATTGCATCGTACCTCTTCTCTTTCCAAGTCAGCCATATATAAGTGTGGCTTCAGTGCCATAAACTAAGTATCTATATGAATCTAGTTTACTTGCCCTAAAAGTATAAAAATATTTTTAGTTTTTTCGTGCTTACAACGAGATGTTCGTCTCGCTCTGGCTTTACCCATATGTTAACTGGATGAGTGAGTGATGCTTACTTACATAAATTACAAATTGCACCTGTCATCTTCTAACTAACTTTTAAATTATAACTATGTGTATATCGTAGAAATTTTTATATCCTATCGAACATCATAATATTCTTATGATTTTTAAATTTCTTTAAACCCACTAATGAGTAATTATTGGAAACAAAACATAACTTATTCGAAAGCTAAAGCCAAAATAAGGTACGAGACAAATTACTCAATGAAGCAAATGCACAAATCTGTTCAGTGTTTTTAAACAATGGCCGGTTTTCGGAAAGTGTACGGACGTGATCGATTTCGGCGGTTATTTATTACTCAGTGTTTATAGTTTTTGCGAACGATTTTGCGAACGATTTTACGGCAAATAAATCACTAACAAAGATGATTATTGTTCAAAAAATTGGATACAAATTTAAGTACTGAGTCATGTTTTGCAGTAAGCATTCTGATGTCATCACAAAACTTTGCTTTAAATTTAGCTTGTTTGATAACACATTTTGTTAGATAATTTTCATGTTTCGAAATAGTATAAAAAAACTATACCAAATAGTGATTAACCCAAATGCCAACCGTCCGTGGAAACCTTGTACAGTATAAACCACAATAAATGTATTATAATTTAAACGTCAAACGCTTTCGTTGTCTCAATTGGACCCAGTTATGCAAAAACAGCCATGTACGTAAAAGTACCAACAGAGTTATAAGCATTTTTCTGTCGATAGTTGCACTTGGGTTGTGTTTTGTTTTTCTGGTTATTTTAAAATTGAACAATATTTATATAAGTATTGTTTTTTTTTATAATTATTTTATTTTTTATAATAAAATGCTTATAACTCTGTTGGTACTTTTAAGCACATGGCTGTTTTTTGCATAACTGGGTCCAATTTTAAGGCAGTGACTCGTGTTGCTTGCTGTATGTAATTAAGGTCAACTCTTCTAAGATAAATAGCATCTTCTTATATTCCGCTAAGGAAGTAACAAAATGTAAATAGGATTTCTAGTCATTAGAAACCTACGTGTTATAAAAAACATACATATATTTTTGAACTCACAATCTTTTTAGGCGGAAAAGAGCCAATTTACATTATCATTTATACTAGCATTGCCCGCAGCTCCGCCCGCGTTCAGATGGCCAAAAACCAAATTCTTAGGTTTTACATATAAGTATACTCTTAAACAGCAGTTTTGTATCTTATATCAAAAATGAGATATTTTTCCTCGGTAAAAAGTATCCTATATGTTGACCTGGATAACCAGCTATCATCATACCAAATTTTATCAAAATCTGTCCAGTGGTTTTCTCGTGATGCGGTAACAGAGAGACAGATAAAAATTCTAAAAACTATAGATTCGGCCTCTGTATCAATAGTAAAGTTTATTTCAATAAGATTTTCCAAAAAATATCTAATGTACAGATTCGGCTTAGTTACAATTTTATTATATGTATAGATAAACAATACTTATTCATGATGTTTACAGTATTTTTATTAATATCTTTTAAATATTAAAAAAAAACAGATTCAAAGACCAAATATGAGAAACATAATTAATGCCAATAAAAGGAAAACATAAGTCAAATTACTGTTCATATATTTTTTGTTTGTAAGAATAATATCTACAGAAATGAACATTTTGAAAAATATTAACTACCATGTTCCAAAGAAACATGCAAACGATACTTCAATTCGAAGCGCAAGCACTCATTTTACTGCAATTATAACTATTAGTATTACGAATAAAAGGTGAAATTATGATAAACGTGCACGCGACGCTTCGACACGCGACAGTATTGGCTTCGAACATTCCTAGGAAATTGAAGCATCGATAGATAATGAGTCTGTTTAGTGGCTGCAGGGTACCAATTGTTAAGAATTAGAAGTGGTAGATGAGTAGCGATCTGTTATTACCGGGGACGATCGTGCTAGATGAAAACTGGCTATTATTTCCTTACTTAAGATAATTTTTATGTTGTGTTATTTTAGACTGCTGTTTGTATCTAAGTGTAATCCGATTGGTTTATCTTAAAAAGATGAAAATGTTCTTTGATTCAACAAATGATTTATTACTATACATTATATGTACATAAGTATAGACCATATGTAAAAGTAATGACTTTTAAGAGGAATAAATAAAAAAATATGTAAATATGTTGGGACATTAACACAGCACCATCTAGTTCCATGGTAAGCTACGAGGCTTGTGTTATGGATACCAGATAGTTGATACACTACATATATATGTAACTTTTAAATACATACATTATACATATTATCAATATAAACACCCATGACTGGAACAAACATTCGTGCTCATCACACAAATGAATGCGCCCAGCGGGACTCGAACCCGCGACCGCTGGCACAGCAAGTAGGGTCACTACAAACTGAGCCAAACGTGTCGTCAATGATGAAATGGTGCTGTTCTTTTACTATTCCAGTTTAGAGAAGTCAGAAAAGTAAGAAATCTTCATTTGTTTAATCTTATAAGTGTGAATTACACTTTATGTGTTCAACTCTGTAAGTCGATAGTTTTTTTAAAAACCAGCTCAACATACTAACACGATAGGAATATTAAATATTAGCCAGTGTTGTTAACTTCCCAAATGTTGTTTCCAGAATTTGGACAATTGGAAGTCATCGCGACGGAAGCGTGTGGAGCACATCATAGAACGCTGCGTGGAGGTGCGCAGGTTCGAGAACGAGCCTCGAGAGCCTCGTGCCAAGTCTAAGACCTTCAACGAAATGCTTGAAGAACGGTAAGTTATCTTTATTTTAACTATTTTCGATGATAGTGCTATGAAATATTTCTTAGATTCACATGTCATGGTATAGATTCATTAAAAAAATGTTTATTTGCGTTTCAATCGATTTTAGTTGTATGTATATATTTAGTTATTAGGTGCCATTTAAAATTGAAGGTATTAGAAATTGTAGATTTGAAATTGTTATTTTGAACTAATTTATATCGTCTACGAAGTGGACAATATGACTTGTAAGGATTGGTTGAGAGACAGTTCCTAACATGCACTTTTATTTGAATAAATTGACTACACAAGCTATTATTAATTACAATTTTGCTCTTATGCATTTGGTTGCACTTTGTCACTCGCATAATTTTGTGTTTAAGCACTCATAAACTTTACACCCACGTTGGTTAATCGAGACGATGCGACCTTAATTACCTTTGAGCCAGATTCGCAATAATTTGTCGATAATAAATCGATCGTTGATGCCAACCCTATTATTATATAGGCTTTGGGGCGCCTTGTTCACGTTAGTTTAATACGTTTTTATGAATTTAACAAACGTGGGAAAATCTTATAGAAGTTATTTATTAATATACGTAAAATAAATAGAAATATATAATATAATAAGATGTATGTATGTACGTAATATTGTATTTTTCTTATGCCGATTTCACTGCAACATATATGTTATTGATGTTGGAATGGAATATTAGCGTATAATAAGAATTAAGGATATCATTTACAATTAAGTATGTATCTATTAAATAGTTCTTACTATAATTAAATTTGAAAGTGTTTTTGTTTGATTGTTACTCGTACAATATCATTTTTGTGTTGAAAAGATACATATTATCGTTTTTGTAATAGAAATTTGTCACGGGTATATTAATAAATTAAAAATATATATTATAGATTAAGTATTTTTCCCTGGTGTTGACGAAAAGTCACTAAAAAGCGCTTGATACAAACGCAAAGGGAACTGGGGAAAAGGGAAAGTGTGTAATAATATTTTTTAGCCTGACGAAGATTTTGGTAATTTATAGATAGATAGGTTAACTTTCGAATTTTACTTCCAGATTACATATTTACTACAGTTAAATTAACTGTCGATTAAGTTTCTCGTATTGCATACATTAAATACAAACACCTTATACAACTTTCTTATATATATTATTAGTATCTATCATAAAATTAACCGATATGTTAATGGCATGTAAACTAATCTCATGTATAGCTTTTAACTCAAATTTCCCAAAAGGAAATCGGCTTTCCACCGTCACGAGCGAGTGCCCAGTGTCAGTTACGTCCGTCGCGCTCGGTGGGCGCCGCACGACTGATCGGGTTACACTACAGTATAGTGTGCACGCGCAGCCAGCTGGTGATCCAATTGTCTATGGTTTCCAACATGTCTTCTTGGAAACTTTATTTATTTATTGGTTTAATTGTGCTTATATAAGGTTATAATCAGGCTTTTCTCTTAAAAAGAGATAATCTCTTAATAACAGCAATATTATCTATGAATTTCTATTTCCTAACTCTTGAATGACAGTTTCCACTTATTTCTTTTTATAAGAAGACAGCTCCATTTTAAGTTTTAAAAATTATAAAAATAAGTTCAAATTAAATATGCCTACTTGATTTTTTTGAATTGAGACTCATTTCAACCTTCTATAAATTTTATATTCTTAAAACAACGTTTTTTTGCTAACGTTTCTTGTATTCATTAGCTTTCATTAATCTTAATTAAAGGCACAATTACTTCAGCGATTTAAAGCAAATAATTTAAAATGCCATCTTAATCCCGATGTTAAACTTGCCAAATGGAACATACGATTGTTATTTACACATTTATATAACATAGTGCGAATAGTGAAAGTGGTAATTGAATAAAACGATTCAGACGTGCGATGTTTACAGCAATTATGGTCGTAAGGTTTTATATTACTATTATCTAAGTATTATTATTATATATTTTGTAATTATTAACTAGGAAAAGAACCTGGCATTGTGTAATAAACTAACATATTTAATACGTATCGTATATGTATAATGTTTGACACAGTGACCGCGTAATATGCGCAATAAGATTGCATTCCGTAACTTGAAATAAAAATATAATTCATATAAATAGATTTTTCCAAGCACTTAAAAATTTGTGTTAATTTTAACAATTAAATTGTATGACGGATACTTGCTTGATACGTTTAATAGCTATAATAATTAAATACAATTATGAGTTATGGTCGAACAGTCTTGTATGTTCATACGAAGATTTTTCTTTTGTCTTGGCTCTAAACACGAAACAATGTGTTCCGTAGCAAGCAAACATCCGACGTTTACAAAACTGGCATTAACAGTAACTAGAATGCGCCAGCCGACAAACAAACCGACAACGTTAGTATTACAAGTACGAAACCAGAACATTGATAAGAAAAATACTTGCAGCAGGAAAAGTTAGTCACTTTTCTTGCACATTCTAATAACGAAAATGCTAAAAATACTAACAATTCACTTCTTCTTTTTCATTTTAATCGAATTTTTGGATATATCTATACATATTATAAAATTGTAACTAAGCCGAATCTGTACGTGTACATTAAATATATTTTGGAAAATCTTATTGAAATAGACATTATTATCAATACAGAGGCCGAAACTATAGTTTTTAGAATTTTTGTCTGTCTGTCTGTCTGTTACCGCATCACAGAAAAAAGCCACTTGAGGTATTTTTATGGAATTTGGTATGGTGGTAGCTGGTTATCCGGGTCAACATATAGGATACTTTTTACCGCGGGAAAATATCTCATTTCTGAGAAGAATTTAAAAAACTGCAATGTAAGAGTATACTAATATGTAAAATCTAAGAATTTGGTTTTTGGTCATCTGAACGCGGGCGGAGCCGCGGGCAATGCTAGTTCAGTATTATAGCTATGTATCGTGTAGCTAGTGACAGTAAAAAGTGCAATTTAATGTTATATCAGCATCTACGTTCAATCTGTTATCTAACTCATTGTTATGCTGTTAAAGAGAGGTTACAAAAACATGTACAGACTATCGCATAGCATGATATTTCTTACGCAGCCAAAGCTATACTAAGATATAAACAAATCTTAAGTTTTATGCATTAACTTACGTTGCTGACTGTACGTGATTAACGATAATAATAGATATAGCTTACATATGAAATTTATGTATGGTGTTTTACAAGTGATGTAAATTATGACACTACTTGATCTAGGTCTTGCACTAGTCTTTGTATAGAAACATTAGGTACAAATAATAATGAAAAAAGGTCTAAAAATATGTTTGTTTACATTATATTTTGATTTAAATAACTGGACTTTTTAAAGTCGGTGGGAATTTTTTTTTGGGCACGTTCGACTTAATCAGAGTTTGCAGGTTCGATTATCATGAATGCGTTTGACATAAAGTTATGTATTCAATCGAACAAATTCGAGATATTTGACATTGAATGTGTGAGTCAGAACAACCTGCTTATCTACCGCGACATATAAAAAGTATATTTGGAATTACGAGTATATCCGCACTAACAAAGACTTGAAATTCAATCTGGATTTCTGGCAAGGATAAAAAAAGGTGTTACAAAAGTTTACAGCATCATTTTTACATCATACCTCGAACTGTGTAATAGAAATTACTGTGCGTGACACGTTTTGTAACTCGAGATAGTCAAAGGCCTTTGCCCCCTCGACATGAACACTGGTATATAAAAGTTTTCTCATAGAAAACCGCATGTCCCTCGTCGGGACGCTCGGCTGCTCACCACGGGCTCATCTATCCGCCGTATTTAGGTCGTTATCGATGTTTAATACTCTTCCTGAGTTAGAGATAACTCTAGAATTGATTAATAATTCTTCAGATTACATTAATTGAGCGATAACTTAGATGACTTGACGCCTTAGTCCCGTGATGTTTGTTGTAAAATCCAAAAAATCCGTGAAAAATCTGAAAACAGATTTAATTACATTGTCAATATATTTGCGTTAATCTAACAAAAGTATTATCTATACTAATATTATAAAGAGGCAAAGTTTGCTTGTTTGTTTGTTTATTTGCATGCGTTAATCTTAGGAACTACTAATCTGATTTGAAAAATTATTTTTGCATTAGATATCCTGTATTTGAGGAAGGCTATAGGCTATATATATATATATATATATATATATATATATATATATATATATATATATATGTTACTTCTCAAGGGAGCGGAGTAGTAATATAATATATAGTAATATAATATATATACTAACCGTTGAAACGTACCTAGGGACGAACCCGAACGTCTGATTTTCAGTTTGTTATGTTGTTGTATAACATGACGAACATATATGTGGGTAGTGCTGTGGAGCATTTCGTTTTAGATTACGGATGTTGAATCACTGGGTATGACGCCAATTGTTTCACAAATAAACCCGGACTGTGAATGTGTACAATCTACGTAATCTTTCAGATCTCAATATATATATTTAGTTTTTTTTTGTTTTGTTTGTTTGTATTGTTAAATATACTTAATTTGTTATATCTCATTATATCACTTGTTTAAACACAATTATTATTTTCAAAACACCTACACAATCTTCTGTGCAGTTGTATACTGTATATAAAAAATACTTTAAATGTATATTTGCAACAGCCATGTTGTTTGTCAATTCAATACATTTCGTCTCAAATTATATATACAACTAGCGGACCCGACAGACGTTGTCCTGTCTACACGTCTTTAATTTGAAAATTTCAAACTTTTTTAATAATTTTTTGATGAAAATTATTATTCAAATTGTGAATCTAAACCATTCCCAGATCCCCTTGAACACACACAAAAAATTTCTTCAAAATCGGTCCAGTCGTTTGAGAGAAGTTCAGTGACATACACACTCACAGAAGAATTATATATATAAAAGATAAGGAGATAGATTTTTTGTTTGCATCGAATCCTATTAAATTAAAAAACAGGTTATAATTGTAGACCTAGTTTAATCGCGGTT